AACCCCTTCTCAGCTACAGTCTTTGTTTACTTTTGTCCTGAATTTATTTTTGTCCCTCAAAAATAGTCACTGTTTAATCAATATGTTCTTTGTTAATATTGCCATTTTAGCATGACAAATTGACTTATTTTAAAGCACATATTCATAAATAAATTCATTTAGCCTCTAAAGAAAATAGCTGTAGTCCTGTGAAGTGTACTTCTAAAAAAGATCTGTAGCAACAAGTTTTGAACATGAATTTAAAAAAAAAAATCTTTACAAGCTAATTAATGACCATTCCGCTTAATGATCCAAGGCATTGAAAGGCTGAGGACAAGAGAAGCACATGATGTCCAAGGCAGGCTTTAATTAAGTAGAATTAAAAAAAGTAAAGTTCGACTTTTTTTTTTTTGTTTTGCCTTTTAATTCATTTGTTAAAGGATTTTTTGGCTTTTATACATGGGTGACTTTGGTTTAGAGAAATTCTTGTGACTTGGAAGAACAATTCATTTCTCAAACAAGTATCTTTCTTGTCAGAGTAGTGTGTCGTATCTGTACCTTATCTCTGACCTTCAGTGTGTTGGGATACCAGGACAGGTACTTTCAAATCTTGGCAGCTGGCAGGAAGGAGGGAAAATGTAACATTCAGAAAATAAGTTAGCTCATTGATTTTGGCAGGAAAATGGGAAAGGAAGAGAGAAAAAATACAGGGAAAAACAAGGCAGAGAGGGGAAAGGAAAGATGTAGACAAGCCAGAAAAACAAGGAGTGGCTTTTTAGAGTTGATTACTTGGAGATAATCATCAAGGTCCTGACCTGTACTACTGAGGTCTGATTTTTCTGTTCAGAAATGACTGAGCTTTCTGCTCGTGTGGTTTTCTGTAATTTTACTGTCCCACATTGGTGATAGAGGAATAATTTACATTACAAATACTTCTTAGAGGTAAAATACATATGTCATTGATAGTTTATTAGATTGTATATTCTTATTTCTCCTACTTCCTCTCCATTTCTTTAAAATCATCATTACATTATGTGGCTTTCATAGTAGTGTCATTTGAGTAGAATCAAACATCTTTTTATGTTTGGAATGCAAGTTTATGTAAGGTTTGCATGTATTTGAAAAATTAGGTGATAACAGGGTTAGAAATTTCCCAGTAAAAAAAATTTACTGCTTAAGTCTGGCCTCTTCTGGTAGGGCCAGTATGTAATTCAAAGGGTTATGCTTGAACTATATTACGTACAGGACAAGCTGCAAAATGAATGAAACAAATTCATAGAATGAGTAAAACCATGGAATGTTGTTAAGGTTGGCCGTATATACACAAAACTTTTTAACAGTTTCTTAAAATAAAGCTTTTTTTTTTTCCCCCCCCATAATTGTTACCAGGTGGCTTTTTATGCTTACGCTAAGGGAACTTGTAGGATGGTAGGCTTACTGTTACATATGAAAATGTTAGACTGTTTTTAGCTATTATTGGTATTTCTTTAATGTGCATGATAGCTTACTCAATGGACATGCACATGGTAGACATTTCAGATTTTCTTTCTTACTAAGCTCTGTTTTCTGCTCTTTTGTGAGACTCTCAATTACTTTTTCAATGACACTTCATTAAAGTGCAAGGTAATCATGTTACAGTAGCTTTAAATCATCATCATCTGAAAAAAACAATAGATAACCAAATTACTAAAGACTGGATAACCTTGTTTTCCAGCTTTTTAGAGGCAGTGATTGTGTAGAATAATCACACTCTTCACTGACTACTGAAGATGATATAAAATATTTCTTTTGGTATAAATGTTACAGTACTGGGGTTTGGGGAAATGACACTGCAGTGAATTCTACTAGTAGAGGCTTCTTTTTCTTTCTAGTACAGTTAAGGATGTTAGCAGTCAAATGTGTTTGAGACTATACCTAGAGTTGAGATAGCAAGGGATGTGAAGGGCACTGAAAAAGGCTTCTGTGGTGAAAGGGCGACGAGGAAAATGCTAAATGGCATAGGAGACTTAATGTCGAAAGGTTGAGGATGGCATCTCTGTGCTTTGGTCTTTATTTGCAAGGCCTGTTTCCAGCTTCCTCGAGTCCCTGGGCCTAGCAACACACATCTGATGGAGCGAGGTACTTCTTTGTCTACGGTAGAAGAAGAGCAAGTCAAGGGCAGGCCAGTTTTGTGAGCCAGCCACGCACAAGTTGGTGGGACTGGGTGGGGTATGTCAGGGGAGCTGGCCAGCATAATTGTGGGGATGGTCTCCAAAAGGCAGTGCATTTGGTGGCGAGAGGGCTCCCAATAACTGGAAAAAAGAAAACATCACACCTGGTTTCAAGGAGGAGGACGTGGGGAAACTACAGGCTGGTCAGCCTAACCTTTGCCTTCAGGAAGATACTGGAGCAGATCCTCCTGACAGCCACGTCCTGGCTCTGACAAGGCAAGAAGGTGACTGGGAATAGCCAGGATGGATTAACCAAAGGCAAATCTTGTCTGAACCATCTCATTGCCTTCTGTGACGGAATGTGTGGCTCAGGATACCAAGTGAATGTTGTTTACTGTGGCTTGCGTGGTGGTTGAGGAGATGGCCCCAGACTCTTGGAGGCAGTGGGCACAGGCTGGGGCAAGGGAAGTTCAAACCATGCATAAGGAACACCTGCTTTCCAGCAAGAGTGGTCACTGATACAGGTTCCTGAGAAGTGTCAGGGAATCTGCATCCTTCAAGATAGTAGAACTCAAGTGGCCAGGGCCCCAGGCAGCCTCATCTGACTTCAGAGTTGGCCCTGCTTTCTGCAGGGATTGTACCAGATCATCTCTAGAGGTCCCTTTCAAACTAAATTATGCTGTGATTCTCAACAGATTATGGATGATTTAGGAGTTCTGGTAATAAAGTACCCTGTCAGATGCAACTTAAAGCAGTTTAAGCATATACAAATTTTTAACCTCTGTTTCTTTAAAGTCAGATACTTTGGATCATCCTAACATGGTGTGGGAAGTGAAGACAAATCAAATGCCTAATGCAGTTCAGAAACTCCTCCTGGTAGTGGACAAGAGAACTTCAGGGATGAATGAGTCACTGGAGTTGCTGAAGTGTAATGAAAACCTGCCCTCTTCTCCTGGATATGCATCCTGTGATGAACACATGGAACTTGGTAAATAACCTGTCTGTTTCAGAAGCAGCCAAATTCTGAAGTTTGTTGCAGTTTTCCTATAGTGCAATTACTGGAGGCTGACTGAAAAAGATTACTCATTTTTAATTTTAAGTAGGGCAGGGAATATGACAGTGAATTGTGACATCTGAAGGTCTTACTTTGTAGTCAGTTTTCCCTTTAACCCATTTTCAGTTGTGACACACTGGCCTGTTGACTTAAATGTGGTCTCGAACTCAGAGCTACAAATTTCCGCTCCTCATCTCCAGAGGAGATTTTTTTGACACAAGAATAACAGAAAGCTCAAGAGCTCCTCCTAAAGGGAAACGACGCTGTTTTAGATCAGCTGCAAATAGAGATTTTGGGCTAGAGGAACATTTAACTTCAGTTCTTATATTTTGGAGAAAAATAGCATGTATATTAGAAAGTATTGGTCTAATCAATGAAATATTAACACATATAATTGAAGTCATGGAGTGATTAAGAATAATGATAATTAGGTACAAGAGAGCATGTAACACAAACTTCTGTTAACAAGCTGGGCTGTCTTCTGCTATTCTCTATAACATGTGAAACGTGTAGATTATTGACAGGAACTTACCCCAGGCTGCATACCGAGCTTTCGTGACTTCTGGGTTACTTAATTCCAGTTCCCTGGTGGAAACATGGAAAACCTTTACCTTTTATAGCCCTGATGTTGATAATTTTTAGTGTCACACCTGCTAGGACAGATTTATTTAGTTGCCTTTTGTTGACTGTTTCAGTATTTTAGTGAAGCATGTTGCTACTTTTGCATAATTGTGCAGTACAATTCTGTGTAAACTAGTCAGTCTAGTAAAAACTTCAAAAATAGACTAGAGATGTGATTATTTCTGTGGCTGTTATGTCAGTATTATGAATAAGGTTTGTGAAATGTTGTTAATAGTGATAGGAGAAAATAAAATTAGTTATTTCATTGTGATTCCTTTTTGATTTTTATTTGGAAGATTTTATCAATGGGTATAATTATGGTAATTTGTGCATTTGTTCATAGATGATCTTCCTGAACTACAGGCTGTGCAGACAGATTCTACCCCACCTGCTCTTTTTCAGCTGGGTGCTGATGTTTCACATCAGGAATGTTCAAGGCCTTCATGGAACCAACATACCTCAAACAGTAATTCAGAAAGTGATTATTCTTGTGAGAATGGGGTGAACTGGTTGACAGAATTAGCAAATATAGCCACAAGTCCTCAGAGTCCTTTGATGCAGTGCTCTTTTTATAACAGGTACTGACACTCATTTCAATTTTGAACTCTTAAGATTTGTAATATTCTCTCTCCAGAAATATTTCTTTGACTCTTCACACCCTCTGACTTTGAACTGTAGCCCTATTTTTGATCTTTCTATATAGTAACTTTATTCTTCTGGGGAAGATTGCACAGGACTCACTTCAGAGCCTGTTGCAAAAGCTGCTTAGTTGCCAGCCACGTATGAGGTAGGATGGTATAATGACATTGCCTAACCTCAGAAGGCTCAGAAATTATGGGCATTTACCTCATGTGAAGCAGCAGATGAAAAATTAAGATAAGTTTATTACATTAAATTCTTAATACTTACTAGTGCACTGACTTTAGATTTTTTTAAAAAAGAACTAATTGGAAATCTAATGCAATGTATTTTTTATTTACACTGTTTCAGATTTGTGATCTGTAAATTCCATAAGGCAGTGAGAAGCAGTATGAGATCTTAGAAATTTCTGGGCTTCACCTTTTATTGTACGGCTTTGGTCTTGTGTTTATAATAAGAAAATTAAATACAGTACTGCTAACAGTAGTGCAGTTGGGATTTAATCATTAGGACTGAGCAGATCTCTTTATATACTCTAAGAATGGGATATTCACTTCAAGATACTTGTAAAAATGTTGGCATTGTGGCGAGGAGATGCTCATGTGAAGGTAGTACTGTCGTTTGGGTGGTATATAGAAGCTATACAGGAGTTACACTAAATACTCCCTTTGTCTGAACTTGCACCCTTTAATCATCCCATTTGAATATTGGTGTGTGGGAAGTTTATTTGGTATTCAGCTCATGCAAACAGAAATGTTTGTTAAATAAGAGCATTTTAGAGTAATGGCAGCTAAGTTTTATGTTGTCTTAATCTGAGATATTTTAAAACGCATTTTTCTGTTGTAGATCATCTCCTGTTCACATAATAGCCACAAGCAAAAGTTTACATTCCTATGCACGTCCTCCACCAGGATCCTCAAAGAATGATCCTGACTTCTCCAAGAATGATTTGGATGAAACACCAGTCAGACATGAAAGGGTGAGTTGTTCTGAAACACTTCTAAAATAAAGAAAGATGCAGGAGTAATGGGTTAAGGTTTTTTGAAAAGAGAAACTAGTTTAAAAAAAATCATCTGTTTAGTTCTAATACCGTTTCTATTTAAGTTAGATTTTCTGTTACTTTTCTTATTACCACAGTACCCTTGTAGTGCTACATAATAGAGTCTGCATTTTAGATCAAATTCTAAGAGCTCTGCTTCTCTTGTAGTTCCTTCTATAGAAAGCTTTAAAAAATTGTATTAACTTGTTTGCTGTCTCAAAAAGGAAATACAGAACGATCTCCTTTTAGACACACAAAAACTGTCAGTCCTGCTTCTCCCTTTCCTGTGTCTGAAACTTGTCTGTTAAAGACAGTGAGTTTTTCCCAGTGATTTATCTGGAGCTGACTTGGCCCTACAGCTTTTCACTAATTTGACCATAGAGTAATGTGTGCTTTGAGTGGTTCTGTGGATGACTGAGGAACGATGGCTTGTACCTAAGCATAAGATTAATCCATAGGTGTGAAATGAATCTCAGAATGAAACCCAAAAATTTCAGGATGGCACATTTCAGGAAAAGGAGATGAAAATACTCTGTTCACATTTACTGCATTCCTTGAATCTTTGTCTTCATGTTACATTCCTGTTAGTATTTAAACCAAAATGACAACACAGATGCAAATTAGAGAGTGTGTCTAAAGACATGTAAGACCAGCCCTAAAATCTTCCACAGTAAAATGTCAACACCATTTTGTTTTTTCTAATAGGCAAATAGTGAATCAGAATCTGGCATTTTCTGCATGTCATCACTTTCAGATGATGATGATTTAGGATGGTGCCATTCCTGGCCCTCAACTGTTTGGCATTGTTTTCTAAAAGGTAAAATAACATGTATCATTGAATAAATATGTTTTGTCTTTGGTTTTTTTTTTTTTGTAACACAGACTTTTTTTACATAACAGTAATCTTTTTTTCTTGAAAAAAACCTATTAGGCTCTCGTTTGTGCTTTCATAAAGGACGCAATAAAGAATGGCAGGATGTTGAAGATTTTGCAAGATCTGAAAGCTGTGGAAAAGAGGAAAATCTCCCAGTCAGTCCTTACAAGGTAGCTGTTATCCCTGTGCCTTTAATTACTGTCTCAGGAAGGGCGGGTTTATACTAAACTTGTCCAAAGCTGATCCCTGCATTATTTGAGTATCTTGCTATAAAGCAATTGAACTGAATCCATTTAGGTGTGTTTTATTTGTTATATCGTCTTTATTAATTTTTAGCGAGAGCACTTAGAATGTTGGTATTTTTTAATAAAATGTAAGATGATGAATATACACCTATAGTATACACAGGTGTATGCTTTTCTTGTGGGAAAAATTTTGAGCTGTATGTATGTTTACAGGGCTATGGTTCTGATGGGTTGAAGTTGATTTCTCATGAAGAAAGCATTTCCTTTGGTGAGTCAGTGCTGAAGCTGACTTTTGATCCTGGCACAGTGGAAGATGGCTTGCTTACGGTAGAATGCAGACTCGATCATCCTTTTTATGTTAAAAATAAAGGTATGAAATACTACAAGTATACTTGGTTGTATATTAAAATATTCTTAGAAAGTGGTTGCAGATTTTATTGGCGTCCCATGTTACTCAAGAAATTGATAGAAGCGGTGTTGTAGAATCAGTGCACTGTCTTTGTAAAGAAATCCAGAATTTGAACAAACAAAACTGTAAAACTACAAAGCTATAGAAATATTGGATATCTTACAAGGAAAGATTTGATTGAGTATATAAATGGAGCTCAGGGAAGCAGAAAAATTTGGGGGGAGAAAGGGAAGCTGCAAATAAGGGAGGCTTTTCTCACTTGCTAAATATGGAACTTCTGATGATAAAAGTTTCCAGGTTTTGATTACTTTTTTGCTAGAATGAGATTTTACTTGAGATAAAAATAAACTACTTGCAGTAAGAATTCCCTGAGTACGTGTTTCTGATTTTTCTTTTGGGTGAAAGAAACTACATCAGAACTTTTTTATAAAATGATATCAGTTAGAGATGTAGAATTGCTCCAGTTAAGAACTAGAGAGATTGTCTGGCCGTTTGTCTAATTTAACTCTTTACCACTTCAGGTTGGTCATCTTTTTATCCAAGCTTGACTGTGGTACAGCATGGCATTCCATGCTGTGAAATGCATCTTGGAGATCTGTGTCTACCTCCTGGACACCCTGATGCCATTAACTTTGATGATTCAGGTGTTTTTGATACATTTAAAAGGTAATTTTTGGATAAAGTGGCCTCAGTGGTTCTTGTATTTAATGAGTAGGCACCTTAAGTCTACAAGAATTTGAAGCATTATGTAGAGCAAAGAGAGAATACTTCTGGTAATATGAGATAAATAAGAGGGAAAAATGAAGACTGCATACTAGGAAAGCTGTGTAATCATGTGCTCTGCTAAACTGCAAAGTAATACCTTGGAGTGAAACAACCTTTCGGCCCCTTTTTATGATAGTTTAAGCCACATTAGACAAAGGAGTAAAAATATACGTGTTATCTGTATAAATTCTTCAGGTAAAGTGGGCTATGTTTGAAAGACCTAGTACAATTTTCCCACAGTAGTATGTCTGCCGGCTATTAACTTGTGCTTCATGTGCAGCTGTGTGTCTGAATTATCTCAGTAGTTTCTTAGTAATAAATGCATGTGCTATGGCTTTAGAATACAGTACTTTTGTAATTAGTTCTTACTATTTTTGTATCTTCTGCTTTTTGTGATTCTTTTCTAATCCATCAGACTTACCTAACTTTAAAGTTTGATTAACTTTGAGGTTTGCCTTGCTTTGAGCAAGAGGTTCAACCAGATAACCTTCAGAGGTCCTGTCCAACATAAATTATTCTAAGATTCTAAGGAAACAGTATTACTCAAAGATTTTTCCATACTATTTTGAGATTTCTAGGTTTAGTAGAATCCATCTTCTCCTGTGATGTTCGCTCCTTTTTAACATCTGGCTTTAGTCCAGTTGCTTTTTTTTATTTACAATAGAAAAAATGATTTTAAAATGCTGTTTGCAGTTCAAGCCCTAGGAGGTCTTGTATGATTTCAGTTTGACAGAGAGAGTGAGTTCAAATTGCTTGTCTTCACTCATTTGCCGTCTGGGGTTTTTTTGTTCTTCTTAACTCCTGTTCTGAACTGCGTATGTAGAGACCTGTTAGAATCATTCTGTTTACATCTCACTGAAGAAATTGGACTCTATTCATTCTGCAGCCCAGCTGAATACTGCCTGGACATTTCAAATTCCTTGTCTGTCTTTCTGGGCAAAAGGGAGTAAGTCACTGAGAAAGGAGCGTGCAGCAGCAGCTGTGGTTAACAGGACAGAAGAATTAAAAAACAACATCTTGTTGCTGTGTTATGGGAAGGAGATTAGGAATAGGAAGGGTGCTAGACTGTTTGTAGAACAAAGAGGTCCTTTGTCATTATCTTGTGAATGTGCCTGCAAGGTTGTTGGCATTATCCCTTCTCATTGCTTTTTACTTTTCTAAGGGATTTTGGAGGCAACCCTTCAGGCTCCACACTTGCTTTTGGTTCCATCCCACAGAAAGGAGCCTCCTTTGCAGATGGGGGCTGGACTACCACTGGCAGCAGTCCTTGCTAGTAGTTCTGCTTTGTGTTTGGAAAAAAAGCTCTTCAGAGCCCTGATTTTTTTTCCATAAATGATGCAACTATAGCCACATTGAGCAGTGGGTGAGCGGAGCCTTAGAGTTATACACATTTCATGTTTATTTTGTGGTGGTAACTTAGGGTTTTAAGATTCATGGTCAAGTAGCACCTTTACAAGTGTGTTTTCCTGTGTAGCCTGTGGTTCCCAGACTGATCTGCACACACCTGGAGGTGCTAACAAATACTCTGTGGAATTAAACTTCTTAGGTAGCAGCTAGAGGTTAATTGTAGTTGTTGGTCAACGGAAAATTACAACAGTTCATAGTACTTGGAGGTCTAAATTGTATGGAAACAACTTATCTAAGCTGTTGAAATCCTGAGTAACCTCACGGTTGTGTCACTAGAGGGCAGATGTTTGTCAGCTTTGAATCAAATAGCATGCAACATCATGGGTCTTTAACCAATTTTTTAATCTCCGTGGAAGGTTTGGCTGTAAAATAATACGTATTTAACTGCCTAGAGAAGTTGTTTGTACAATAGTGTATATAATGCAATTTATTTTAATACAGTGATTTCATATTTGTAATTAATATATATTTGCAAGTGGACTCAACACTTACTCTTCTCACATCAGTTGGCCCTTTCAGTACCTATCATTCACTGACCAGATTTGATTTATGGTAAGGACAGAAGCAGAAAGAAAGAAGCTTATTTCAAAAGAGGATGAAATTTGAAGACAGTGTATAATTAATTGATATACAGCTGGGGAGTTGATAGTACACAGCCGATCTTGCAAAGTTGCAGTCTGCCATCACATTAAAAAAACTGTGTTTTGTGTTTGTCTTTTTTTTTTCCCACACTGACATCTGCATCAAGCACAAATCATTGTCACATAAAAGAGGCCAGAATACTAGAAATGTAGTACAGATGAAAAGTGAACAGCTATTTAAGGATTGTACATGAAAATTACTTGATCATTTTATGGTATGTCTTTTTCTTGTAGTTACGATTTTACACCAATGGATTCTTCTGCAGTTTATGTGCTAAGCAGCATGGCTCGCCAGCGTCGTGCTTCTCTGTCTTGTGGAGGATCAAACAATCAAGATGCTGAGAGATCAGAATGCAGTAGTAAAAACTGTGCATCTACTGCCTCATCACATCTTTCCTCCAGTTCTTTGTACAGCAAAGCTGGCAAAAGCCACAGCTCAGGGACTGCAAGTACTGTGAGTGCCACTTCTCCAAACAAGTGCAAAAGACCAATGAATGCCTTCATGCTATTTGCCAAAAAATACAGAGTTGAGTATACTCAGATGTATCCAGGGAAAGACAACAGGTAATGGTATAAAATTGTAGTTTTGTTATTACAGGTGAGCTAGCAGAATATGTAAAGGTGCCCCACCTTTAAATTTAAAGTGGACTAAATTTTGCATTTGAAATAAAATGTATATTAAGAACAAGTTTTGAAAGATGCTGACACAAAGCTTAATTTATGGTTGAACTTCAAATGTTTACAGTACTCAGTAAATTTGAGACAAGTCATTTTTTGCAAACTCACCTTCTGAGAAAGCATTTGAGTAAAGCAACTGACATGTATGTGTGCAGAGTCACAAATACAGAACAGTCTTTGTTTACACTGATGAGAAACGTTCAGGGGGAAAAGTACCAGGCTCTCTGCTCGTGTGCTGTAACATGTATGTGTGCAGAGTCACAAATACAGAACAGTCTTTGTTTACACTGATGAGAAACGTTCAGGGGAAAAAAGTACCAGGCTCTCTGCTCATGTGCTGTAATGGGAAAAAAAAGGGAATTTCTGGTTTCTCTGATTAAGTCTTGACATAATAGTGCAAATTGTTCAGTGAAGTTACTATCATTTATTCTCAGTCTGTGTATCATAATGAATAATGGAGTACTGATTGTTAGGATACTTCAAAAGATCTTAATCCAAAACAGTATGTTGCCAAATTTTGCTTGTCCTACAGGCATTCAACAGTCTGCTGAAACTTGCAGGAAAAGTCTCATGACCGTGTGTTTGGGGGAGGGTTTTTTGTTGGTTTGTTCTTTTCTTTTTATCTGTATGCACATTCATGTCAAAACTTTTTTTTATAAAGATCTCCATTATATTTGTTTTAGATAATATTTTGTGCTAGTTGTGCATATGTAAATATAAACTAAAACACAGGAACATGCACTGACCTTAGAATCAGATTTTTTAATGTATATAACATCATGAAAACTGTTGTTGTAAAAATTGCATTGTCACATAAAAATTCTGGTACTAAATCTGGTAAAAACTAAAGGTGACAGGGCTTTGAGAGGGTTTTGGCCATGCATTTTATAATGTTCTAGTAAGGAGGCTGTAACTGGTGTTGAGAAATAAAATCTTACCATACAAATAACCCATCCTTAAATCCCAGCCAGTCTTGTGTGTCCTGGCAATGATGTTCTGCAATGTTTATGGTAATTTCAGTGAAGCAGATCTGCTCCCTTCAAATTCATTGCAACTATCGGTTGAGAAATTGAACAGAATGTCAGCTAGGAAAGTTTATGATGGTTATATATTTAATTTAAAATGCTGATTTCAAATGGATGCAGTGAACTGGAGCTGCAGCTGGATGGATGTGAAAATAAGTGAATATTTCAGTGAGCAGGTTTACCTTGAAGGGCAGTGATGACAGAGTTACAAGTACGCTTCAGAGCGCACCGCTCAGTGTCCCATTTGGAAGGCAGTGCCTTTGGGTGCAGTTTCTTGGCATCCATGAAACAGAGTAGAGAAGAAATCATAAGGGTTAGTGGTAATTGATTTTATAGGCATTCTGCTACTGTTGCTTAAGCGTTGCTGGGGCATTTATTAAGTTAGCTGTTCAGAGGCAACTCTTAACGTTTTTTGAATGTAGATTTGTGCCACTTTCAGATTACTCAGTAGATCTTACAGTTGGTTACATGTAGTACCCATTTCTATGTGCTGGAGTTCTTATGTTTGCTACAGTTACTTTGTTTTTATTATGCATGCAAGAAAGGACAGAACTTGAAGTAGTCTAAGTTAAACAGTCTGTTCTGAGACAAAGTAGCTCAACCCATGTCAACAAGATAGCGAGCTGTAAACATTCAAAACACAAGTCACCATTCCCATGAGACTTAAAAATACTGTGGACTTTAAGACCATACTTGAGAAAGTGGTGTTAGGGTAGCACTTGTTTCTTTTCTAGATACTCATTTTAACCGTAGTTGGACTTGACTGTGCGTTCAGAAATACATGAATAAATTCTAAAGATGAAGAAAATCACCTAAACTATAAACAGCATTTGTTCATGCAGAACATAATTACTGAGTAAACTCGAGGCATTCTCAACTGCTGTTGGACAATTTCTTTTGAATTAACTGCAGCATAAGGGATTGCATCCTGCACATTAGTCAATTGCGAAAATGTTGTCAGGTGTCTTACCAGCATTTTAAGAGGACAAAGGCAGTGTACGGAGCACTGGGAAGTTCTGATGAGGTGAAGGGCGCCTAAGGCAGTGATGCAGTAGGGTCGTTTTTTTCTTACTTGTTTCTGGTTCAGGAGAATTAGGTCTCTCTAATGCCAGGAAATTTCTTTGTACACATCTTTTTTCAGTCTCAGTGGTTCGCTCATAGAACTGCTCCCTTGGAGAAATGGAGCTTTTGTCTCTGCCTTAGATTTATTTTTTTTTCCCAAGCTTTTTGAAATTTATGGATCTGTACTTAGTTTCAAAGCCTCAGTGTAGTTTTTTCTCTGGAGGTATAAAATACATGCATATTTTTGCATTTGAAATACAAAGATTTCATAGTGCATTTTTATTTGGAAATGCAATGGCTTTTTCAGCAAACCTGCTCTCTCTGGGTCACCATGTTCTTTCCTGGGGGTACGAGTGACCCAGTACAAACTGGTGACCAAAACCAGACAGGTTTCTAGTGCTGTTCATGTGCTTCTGCATACTGCCAAAACATGAAAAATCTGCTAATTAAACTGGAGCATGTTTACTTCTGATGACAGACCAAAGATACTCGTTCTTAATTTGGCTAGAAAACCAGAAATTCCATTGCCAAAGAGACAGGCTGTGCAAATGGGTTTGATGTTGATGGGATCTGGTTGGAGCTTGAGGAGTTTGCCCTAAGGAGTCACCACAGCATCTGACAGCCCAGGCTTCACAGCCGCCCCAGTGGAGTTCTTGCTGTGCTCTCTGAGTGCTTTGCAGCTCCTGGAAGCCTGAACGGTAACTACTCAGGATTAAAATCTCTTTTCTCAGTATGGTGGAGAAAAGCCTTCAGAATTGCTGTATGATGTGAAATGCTGTGGAAATGGTTGATGACGCTCTGCTCTTCTTGATTCTGTTTGTTAGAAAGTCTCTGAATAGCTTTGCTGCCAGCAAGGAACTTTTTAGTAGGATAAAGCAAAGTACTTTTAGTTGTATACACCTTTTTCTTAAAGCCGGTCGTAGAACTTTCATCGCTGTAGTCTGACGCCAAAGCATACCTGCTCAGTAGGTCAGTAATTGTCATTCGTAACAGAGCTGTTGTTGAGAGATCTTCATTCAGCTCAAGGGTGGAGTTAAAGCTTTAATGGAATATTGATCTAACATTTTGGAGTGCAGTTAAGCAATATGGTGTGATAATATGGGGAAATACTGCCCAAAAGACATGAAGTTCATAAGGAGCAGGAAAGCATTCAGCTTCTGGAAATGATGATTGGTGTGTTAGAACAAACGTTCGTTTTGCACAGAACAGGAACTTACCAGTGTGTTGTGCCTCGAATGGATTAAAGGTGGAGGAAGCTGGGCACATCTGTTAAACAGGGTTTGCAGTTAATCAAGTATTTGTTTGGCTGAGGTCACATTCAGATCATTGCCCTAATTATTAGAGAACATATTTTCAACAAATCTGTCATATGATCTTCTAGTACAAAAGTAGAGCGAAACAAATGTGAGTTACCATGTGGTGTTTCTTTCTTTTTAACATCCTTATTTTGCTGGTTTATGCAAGTTGCTGTGTACTCAAATGTACACCCTTTGAAGTGTTAGAGTGTGCATTGACCCCCGTGCAGCTCACGGAGGTCTCAGCTGTTTAACCATTAAAAGAAGTATGAGAAGATAATCAGAAACGTGATTATTTAAAAGAGTTTTTTTTAAAGATACAGTTGGTTTCTTCTGTGTGTATTATTTCCACATTTAACTTTTGTCTTCTTTAAAGTGCTGAGATGAAAAAGAAAAAAATAAGGACATTTCTTAACGCCCTGTCCTGATGGTACTGTAAACATTTATCTTGCAGAGCCATAAGTGTGATACTGGGTGACAGGTGGAAGAAGATGAAAAATGAAGAAAGACGGATGTACACACTAGAAGCCAAGGCCTTGGCAGAAGAACAGAAACGTTTAAATCCTGACTGTTGGAAACGAAAACGAACAAATTCTGTATGTTTGAAGCAGTCTTTTTCATTGTGCAGTTAAATGTGTTCATACGGTAGCTACAGTGGTTTTTGTTGAGGATAAACTCTGCTGTCTACTTCTTGCTTGGTAGCCTAAACCTTCATTTTACTCCCGTGTTGTGTAACCTGCTTTTGGACAGTTGGCTGGAGACACATGAGCAGAGAGTCTGGGTCTCAATGTTTTATGAGAGTTCCATGAATTCTGTTGGACTGGAAGTGAGTGTGCTTGTGAAAGGCAGAGGAAGGGCACGTGACCTTTTGTTTGAAGTAACTGAGTTTATAAGGTTGTACCTAAATTACATCTGTCCATTTCCTTCAGAAAACACTTAAACTTTCACAAAAATCCTTCTCTGTTGTGATTCAGTCAGTCTGCTTTTTCTTCAGTAAAAGCTTTTTCTTTACCATTTTCTTTTTTACTCATAATTACTATCAGCGTATATGGAGTTATCGAGGGAGCAAATTAATTTTTTTCCCATGAATCCCTTTCTTTTATTACTCTGTTTTAGTTGTAAAATAAATACAATAGATAACAATTCTTCTGTCGGGAAATAAATTGTTTTCCACTTTGCAGAAGGCCATCAATTTAAGAGTCTGCAGCAATGTATTAGTAAGTAGTGGATATATTAGGTAAGATAAGGGCTTTCAGGCTAATACATCATACAAAGAGAACATCAAAAAAAGGAGATTCTACCAACCTGCCTGTTCACCTAGAAGAGTAGGTTGGAAGGAAAGGTCCGTTGAGGTGCACAGAATGCCAGGACCTTTCATCAGCCATTTTATGCCTGGGTAGGAGCATCAAGTGTGGTGTGAACTTCATAGGTTTAAGATTTCATCCTGAAATGTCCCCCTTTCCTTTCATGTGTAAATGAGGCCACTTTCTCAAGAGCATATGCAAGCGTTGCCTTAAGACTGAATAAGAAATGCTCCAGCGCAGAGTTGCTTCTTACTGCTGTACATGCTTGGTGCGGGCTTTTCAGTCCCTTGCTGCAGAAGGTTTCACCAAATCCCAGCTGCTAGGAACAAGCTGTTTTTCTGTTCCCTGTATTCTATTTTAATCAACAGTGACAGCTTCTGTTAGATTTCCTTGTGGCCTTAGTTAAGATAATGCTGTTTATTTATTCTGCTTTTACACTACTGCGGTCTTGGGCATTGGATGGCGAGCTCACGTTCACTTCACAAGTGCACCTGTGAGCTTCAGGGGACTCGGTGGGGGTATTTGTGTAGACGTGAGGGGAAGAGTGCTGGGCCGGCCTTAGTAAGGAGGATGGCTTTCCTACCCTCCCTTCTAGTAGGATTTTCCTTGGCCTTGGGGTCTTCAGGCCAAGCCAACAGTGGCTGTAGAACCTGTTACCTCAGCGTTACTGCAGGAAATACCTTTTTTAATTGTTTTATTTCAGTGAACTAAGAATTTTGTCAGCAGCTTGGCTACCTTGTCAGGTAATGATGGTGGACTCCAGGCTGTGACAAAGAAGTCTTGGTCTTTTGATGATCGGGGATAAAATAATCTATTTTGGCCTTTTGTTTTCTTCTAAGTAACTGATGATTACAAGTACTTACAGCTTTCAGAATAAGTGTTTGCTAGATTTAAGGTAATGTCTACTTCCCCTTCGCTTGGTAACGCTAACCTGGTTTTCTCTTCTCTTTTCTCAGGGCTCACAACAGCATTAAGCCAGAATTGTCCTGTCAACTCTGTATTTACAAAATGGCTGTCGCTTGATGGGAGGGAGATGCAAGACAAGGTCTTACTATTTGTTGTGACTTTGTGTGACCATAAAATACTGGCACCATCGAGTCGGAAGTGATCTAATATGAGTGCAGATTTGCTTTTTACAATAGAACATTAAGTAAGCTAAAACTATCAACATTTTAAACCAAATTGCCTTATTTTTCTTCCAAACTTCATATATGTATCAGGTAATATAGGCTTGAAAAATGGATATCCTGTGGTGCTAAAGTACTTTAGAAAGAGGGGAAGGAGGCGTGTATAAATGTTTATTTTTAAAAGAAAATGTACAAAAAGGGGAATTTTAAAATACGTAACAGCTGTTTATATACATTGATTCTTATTGCTGATTAATATGTATTGCACAACCATATTATTAATTACAATTCTGGGGCCTGGGATTTTTCGGAAATGGCAAAATGTATTACCGGCCTCTAGCATCCCAGCCTGCCAACAAGTTACCGGAACGTGTGGTAAATAGCGAGCATGGTGTTAATGTAGCACAGGAGCTGCCGCTTGGGTTGCTGCGTCTAAAATGTGTATCCACGAGGGAGAGATTTTTGCACCAGCTGGCACTAGTGAGAGCTGTTATTTCCGGTGGAAACAATGGCCCAGGACAGGATGAAACAAATAAATAGCGTTATCTCAAGAAAAATGGTGCTGTTGTTACCGTCACCATCATAGTTTTAACTTTGTGTTTTGTCTTTGCCACATATTCTACAATATTTTATTTTGCCATAAGACATCTTTATGGTGGGGGCAAACTTTGCACTTAACTATACGTGCAACACTTGCACTTTACTTTTTTTTCCTCCAACTGTCTAAAATTAGAGCAGCTGCGTTAGGATTACAATTGCTTCTGCTGTTAACTTTCACAATCATAGCTTTTCATGTACTAAACAGCTGTGTGTTCCTTTTTTTTTTTTAAGAATCACAACTGTAAATTTCAGTTTATGACACATGTCTACATGATGTTGCCCCTAAGATTTTTGCACACTATATTCTTGTATATTATTTCAAATAAATTCATTAAAATTTGGTGTTGTGTATTTTATAAAATGAAGATGACTAATCATTGTCACCCCTGCAGAGATGAGCACATTCTGTATGGAAGTCTCCACATGAACCCATCCAAAGTCCATTTTGATGCTTTGCAGTTAGGAAGCCGCTGAAGAATTTCAAATAGTGAATTCCGCATTGGATAGTCAATGTTCTTTATTACAGTTTAAGCAAAAAGAGAGTTGAAATCAATATAAATTGTTTCAAAGCGAATAGCAGTGTAATATAGAGAATCATTTATGTTATTATAAATATTTTTCCTTGTGTTAAAATTAGTGATTTTTAGATGGAAACTGTCTAGTTCTAGTGTTTCAAAAGTATTTTCTGAGTAAGGCTAAAATGTATCCAACTGTTTAAAACTGTACTTGTAGGAAAAGAGCTACTTCCTTATTTGAGATATTCAGCAATTATACTGTAATATTTGAGTGTCTTCTAATTTTATACCTTTCTAAATTCAAAAGGAATGCTAAAGAATGATTCATTTTTATTAGATGTAGACTTAGAGCACAGAAAAATGGTACAATTTCCTTGTAATATTTGTGTATGAATAAATTCCTATAATGTGAACGTGAAGCAAGAAGACAGAAGTTTCACAGATGAAGTAGGTAAACACATTTCACTGTAAAGCTTATGTATTTGGGAATAATTACGTATACACACTTACGGTTCATGTAATATATGTGGCACCAAAGACCCCTGACTCTGTTACTGTCCATTCCGTATTTTGAGAGAGTTGTCCAAGTATGGTCACTGAAGGGTCAACATGGCCTTCTGCAGCAGCTGAACCATTATGGGATAGACTGGTGCAAACTCCTTTCCCTCTCTCGTTCTCACTGATTGAACATAAGCCTCCAGTGCACCACTAAAAAAGAAAAGAAAAGGAGCTAAAGCAATTAAATAGCAAACAAGTATTGTAAGTTCAGGATCTACAACTGAAATTAATCCACTTCTTCCCCACTACAGAATTTTCCTTGGATGATCTTGCGCATCTCGGTGGAAGGAAATGGGCAAGAAAGGCCTTACAAAGCTCTGCATAATTGTTTCATGATCTTTCTCTCCTTTCTTGCATGTTTTGAGGAGCAAACAAGTTAACATTTAAATCAGCAGCAGCAGCATGTTGCAGATGGCTTGAAATGACAGCTCTGACGCACAGACTGGGGCACGTTGCTGTATGGGTAACCTTTAGAAAGGAAAAGAATAGACTCCAGCTGCTGCAGCCACTTAGAGTACAACTTAGGGAATGAAAACTGGGGCACTGGTGAACAACCGAGATGCCTTTAGGTGATTTCCTGGCTAAGTCTTTTGAACTGCTGCTGTCCGTGGGGAAACGCTGTGCTAACCCACAGACAAAGTGTACGTGTGCGTTTGTGCGTCTTGGCTGTGTTTTTCTTGCACGTTGTCATAGGCTGTCACACATAGAAGTGGTGTTGCAGAAATACATTTCAAAGCTAAAAGGTGCAACTGTGATTACGTACTCGTCTGTACGTAATTTAACTTGCTTTACAACACAGGGCCACCTTTCATCCAATGAGTCTAGTAAATGGCATTGTTGAATGACAGCGTAGCTGTAAAAGACTTTGTAAATGCTGATCTGTTCAGATTCTGACTTAATAGTTCATTAAGTGGGCCAAGTTAGTTTTGCCATACTTTCTTAAATGTCCTTTCTAGGTTAATTGATTTTTCCTCTCCTTTTCTTCTTCTCCTATTTCTTCATGTAATGGACACAGTGGTCTTGCGGGTTTCCTTCTAAAACTCTTTGTTTACATTATGTTCCATTGGTGCGATTCACCGCAAACTTGTGGTATGCAGGAAAGCCCACGCACAAACAACAGACCCCATTTCCAGTGGGGACTACCCCAACGCCCGGTGCACGGCTGTTCCTCTTCTGGTTGGTGAGGGCTGCAGTGCTGACACAGACCACGGTCACGGACCTCCCCCGCTGTACGTGGGCGGCGGGTCCTGCTGCCAACGCCCGAGCAGCAGAGCTGAAATCGTCACGCAGCATCGCTGAGTGGGGAAGCGGTCCTGGGTTTTGTCTCCTGCATTCCTTTGTGGAAGTGTGGGACACACCAGCATGGCTGCTCTGCTGGGTTTTGGTGATGTGGCAGGAACATTCCAGTCCCACTGGGGGGGGCAGGTCAGTGGTTGTGCACATCTGGTAACACCAACAGCAGCTGCAGTGTTGGGCATCTAAATACTCTTCAGCTGCCACTTCAGTAGCATCTACATACACCTCAGTATTTATGGTCACTGGTA